TTAGTTATAATAAGTATATGTATACTTCATTACAACTTGTTGAAATGGCAAAATTTTCACTTCATAATATATGTATTTTGTTTCTGTGAAAGGACGTTAGAGTATATTAAGTATAATTGCTATATATAGTATATAATATAGTATACTCAAATTGCTTAAAACTGGTTCATATATATAAATAAATTATTTCCTTTAATTATGATTATTTTTAAATGAAATCATTATTTATTTCAGAAACTGAAACAACTAACCATGCTGCAATAATATCTGTTGAACACAATTATTGCCGCCATTGGAAAAAGGCAAAAAAAGGTAAGAATATTTCACAACTTAGATGGCGGAGTAACTTCTATAGTTAAGTATAAAAAAATCTGAGTCTCAAACCTAAGTTTAAGTCTACCATGCTTTGAACACAATAATATAAAGTGGAAGAATTTTATTATTTGTTTGCATCAACTAGGTTCTGAAACTACTGTTCTGATTTTAATAATTCTTTCGCCTACTGGAAGCTCAGTCATATGCAGAGAACATAGGCTATATTTTGTCCCATAAAACTGCTAATAAAGAGATGAAAATGGAAGTTGAAATTTCTGTAGAGAATTAAAATGTTAACATTTATTTTGTTAACGTTTTAATTTGTTTTTTTTTCTCATGATATAAAACCTTATCCAAATGAATTATGAAATTAAATTCTAAGCCTGGATTAACATAAAGGCAACTTTTTATCACAGTAAAAAGTTCCCTAAGGACTCACTCCGGCGAAGTCACTGGCGGATAGCTAGTACATATATAATGTGCTTACAGCACATTCTTACAGCATGTTTCTTGATGAAAGTACTCAGTAATAAAAGAGTAATATTTTATAAAAATGCCCCTATTTTTTAAATCTATATGAATTATCTAAGCGAGTGGATAGATGTTTTTCTGATCTGATAAAAAAAAATCAATTGTTTACTTACTTTTAAATTGCTTTTTTCAGTTCAACATCATCAGCAGTTGGTGCCATCACTCTTATTGAACCAATTAAAAACAACAAGAGCCAAAATGAAGATTTTACAAACTACATTATTAAGAGCACAAAAGAAAAACAAAACTTTTGAGTCTCGATTAGCCAATGCTGAAAAAATTACTACGGATGATTTATTAAAAAAACTTACAAGTAAAATGACTGTAGCCTCTAAAATTTTTACTAAAATGCAGTATACGCAAACATGCAAAAAACCATCTGGACGTAGATTCTCTATGGAAGAAAAAGTGCTCTCACTATCTTTATATAAGAAGAGTCCGAGAAGTTACCCTCTTTTGGCTAAATATTTTACTCTTCCATCTGCCAAATCCCTGAAAAGGCTCTTAGCGCAAATAGAAGTAGATTCGGGTCTTAATAAAAGTGTTTTTTTTAAAATAAAAGAAACTGTCAAGAAATTGTGTGTAGAAGACCGTTTATGCAGCTTAATTTTCGATGAAATGTCTATCACACCCCAAATTCATTATAATGCTGCAAAAGATCAACTTAAGGGCTTCACAAGTGATGGAAAGAAAATAGCAGACCATGTTCTGGTCTTTATGGTTAAGGGAATACGAAAAAAATTCAAGCAGCCCATTGCATATTATTTTACTAATGCATTAAATAAGTTGTGTTTGAAAGAGATTATACATAAAGTTATAACTTATGTTCATGGCACAGGACTGAAAATATTGTGTACTGTCTGCGATCAAAGTACAGTGAATGTCAGCGTAATAAATGAATTAATAAATGATACAAAGAATAAACATTTGAGGGAAGGAAAGGAATGGAAGAAAGACATTTTTGAGGTAGGGAAATCAAAAATAATCCCTCTATTCGATGTCCCACACCTATTAAAGGGTGTGAGAAATAATTTGCTCTCAAAAGATCTAAAATACTTTGATTTTGAAGAGAAATGTGAAAAAACCTTAAAATGGGAATTTTATAAGAAAGTATATGAAGCAGACAAATCATATGGAGAACTAAAACTTCTACAAAAACTCACAGATGAGCACATTTATGCAGACAAAATAAAAAAAATGAAAGTTAAAGCTGCTGCTCAAGTTTTTAGTCACAGTGTTGCTGTAGCTGCTGAACATCTGTCCGCAAGAGGCGACATCCCGGAAGAATGCCGAAATTTGATCAAATTTACCAAACTAATGGACAATCTCTTTGATTCTCTTAATTGCAATTCATTCAATATACCTAATGGCAAAATTTATAGAGGAAGTGTACGGAGAGCCTCCCCTCACCATGATTTGTGGAAGAATGCCATAATTTTTTTAAAATCTGTAACTTTTGTTAAAAAGATAAAAAAAGGTAATAAAATCCATTTAATTGAAACTAAGGCAATACCATCTATAAATAACTTTATACGCACAATTGAAGGTATTCAACATTTGTGGATTTTACTCTCACAGACATATACATTTGATGCAATGCTGACAAGAAATTTCAACCAGGATCCACTTGAAAACTTCTTTGGAAATATAAGAAGTTATGGGGCCAGAAATACCTCACCAGATACAGTGGCCTTTGAAGGTGCTTTTAAATCATTATTAATAAATAATTTTAACTCACCCCATTCACTTCACGCAAATTGCGAAAGTGATGACAACTATTGTTTACAAAACTTAGATTTTTTTATAAAAGATAATACTTTGTCAAATGCTAAAATACCAACTGATAAGACACAACAATTTCCTCAGCCTGAACAAGACGAAATTGTTATACCTTTTATCGATTTAAGTAATAACACAGCAGATGCTGGTCAAGGTAATTATGTATGTGGGTGGATTCTGGGTAAATGTATTAAAAATGTTACAAAAGCTTGCTCAAATTGTAGACAAAATATGTATGGTGACCCTGAAGCCAAATCTAATGCATATATTAAGGCAAAAGAATATAAGGAGGGCAAAACCTCATTACTATATCCCTCTAAGGATATGGAAAAATGTTTTGTACAAATACAAAATTTAGTGTCAGCAATAATAAAAAAAGATGTGCCTAAAACGCAATTAAAAGCCAGAATAAAAATGTTTACAGACATATTTGTTGATTACCCTTTTAATTGTGCAATACATAAAACTATATTAAAAGATTATTTTGAAAGTATATTAATAAATGTTCTCGTTTATAGTTGGTGCCGTACAATAAATAAAATTCTGTCTGGCAAAATCACATATCATGGTGATGACGAAATAAAATTATCAGCACAACAATATTATAACAAGCATAGATACCTTTTCAAACAAATAAATAAAATGTAAATTTAAAATTTGTATTTTATTTTCATACCCAAGTTTCTTACTAATTTAGTTGTTTTATATTTGATGAAGATATGCTAATTCATTTCTATTTTAGAAATAATGTAGTATTACTTCACAAATATATGACAAGTATATTAGTAAGAAACTACATACCTAATTCACTTATTATTAAAACCTATATTCTGTGCCTAAACGTAGATACGTAAAAGCTATAGAAAATTATAGTTTTCGGATGCTGTTAATAGATGTCGCTACTGTGGTCAATTGACATTAGAAGTCAACAAAAAAGTTCGCGATTGAGCTCTCTATACCCCAACCTATTATTATTCCTCTAAGAATAATGAAGCCGCCTGGCGGCTGGCGGGTGGGTGGGGCTTTGATATTGAGGGATGAACTCGGTTCATATTTTTTTTATTCGTCTTTTGATATCACGCATTTTTTAATGTTCTTTTTAAATGCTTTTTTAATAACAAATTCCTCAATGTTTTTAAAAAAATGTTCATTTGTGTTAATGATGAATCGCTGGAAGATTTGTGAGTTTATCGTGTTTAATTAACGATCCCGTTGTTAAAGGAGTATTACCCCATTCAAACAATTTTTATGGAGAACTGCTTTTTTAAAATAACGTAGGTGAATGTTAGATTGGTCTCTCTACAATAATTTAGGAAATTTTACACTCGGTTTCTTAATTGAGTATTTAAAGTTAAACGTCTCAAACTAATATCACTTAGTTTTCGTTTCCGATTTTAGTTTTTTGATGATCAGTTGATAGCAGTTTGATAAACTAAGACTATTAGACTTGTGAAATTAAAAAAACTTAGGTTATTGAGAATAAGCAGTAGCAATTTTCTACTTTTTTCAAATCATAAACCGACTGTTAGTCTGTAAATCGATTTAAGCATTTTGACTGCCTTTGTTTATTGATTGACAGGTAGAATTTGCATGAAAGCAGTCTTATAAATCACAAACTAGTTTATTTCGTTTTTAGAAATGACGAAGTCAATGGCCGATTAAAAACTTTTCCTTAGTACGTCCCAAAAACAGCTGACTCAGGGTTGAAAACAGTCATTTTTTTTCAAAAACTTTGTAATTTAATATCTCCAAAACTATTTGACCTAGACTTATAATTTTTTTTTACATCATATTAAAGACAAATAGTACTCTCCAGGAACCTCGGGAGTGTCGGTCGTTCTGTTCCACCGAGTATATCATCAGATCGTTGACTAAAATATCGTATTGGACTTATCGATATCGAAAAATACCAACATCTCGTCATATGACTGCCCGAAAAAGAGAAAATAATTTGAAATCATATGAACAAAATGCACTACCCATGTAACCATATTTCTCAGAGACTAAATAAATACCACAAAGTAAATTGCAAAACATCACTTAAGCACGCGCGGTAGTGTAAATAAAGTTCTCTTTATTTACGTTTGAATTTTTTAAATATTATGAAGAAGGCCCAGGCGTTGTATTATTATGCTTTTAAATATTTCTATTACATTCTCTTGGGTTGTATAAACTAAGTCCCTTTGACTGTAACGAAAAATTCTTATCAAACATTGACAGTTATGTACAGATTTGTCAAAAATACAGTTCAAAAGATTTAAAGACCAAGAAAATGCAGGCAGGGCTGTATGGACCTAACATCCTTTGCCCGTCCCAAACAAGGGAGACAAATTAACCAAAAAAAAAAAAAATTGATGGCACATTTTTTTATCCGTTGATTTACGATATCGTTTCTTGATACCGTCGTTTTTTGCTTCATAAAATAAAATTGCTTTCTTTTTTGCTGTTCAGCAGTGCAGCTGTGTGTAATTTCCTCCAAATAGGAATATATATTGCATCATATAAATAAATAAATTTATACAATTGAGGTAAATCGAAATGGTGCTCATTAAAGAATACAGAATATGTATGCCAATGACTGTTGAAGAAGTAAGTGCGCGATACTAAAATTTATTAAAGGATTGTGCCAATATTTAACTGTAATGTGACTTTTTTTTTTCTTGACTTAATTCATTATTCAACTTTACGAATCGTTAGATATATATTTTTTTACTTCTAGTACCGTATTGGCCAACTTTATATGATAGCTCGGCATAGTTTTGAACAATCGAACAACGGTGAAGGAGTAGAAGTTGTAGCTAATGAACAAGTGATGAATGATGTGAATGGCCAAGGCCAATATACTGAGAAAAGAATTCATCTTTCCAGGTATTTTCAAATACTATGTACAGTACTAGATTCGTTTATTAGTAAAAAAGAAAGCTAGATGGCAATAATAACAATATACATATAATTTAAAAGAATCACTGTCAGCTGGTTGTCTAATATCTTAACAGATAATACTTTTTGTTAAAGAAAAAACATATTTACTCACTTAAATAACTTGAAATCACATAAATAAAATGCACATGAAGTCCATCCATCCATAAATTTATGTGATAGTCGCTTACAACTTCACCACACATTAACTACATTGCTAGCTCTCTTGCAATCAAGTAAACAATGTTGTCATTTTAACATAACTTCGCAAATAATCTTTTAGTACCACACATTTGGGCTAGTAGTATACCAAAAAGTCTGTTTTTTTTTGTTAAATTATTAGATTAGAAGTTTTCATTTGACACAGCATAAACTATTGCACTTAAAGTTTAATCTTTTAAGTTTTGTTGGTCATTTAAATTAGCACCATAGTATTATTGATGGCAACTTTTGCTTTGATAAGTACTGTCTACTGTAATGCAAATCCAAAAATGGGTTGAACATTTGAAAGAATATGATTTCAAAGTCCTCTTATCTTTTTTCAGCCATTTGCCTTATTGGCTACAATCTTTGATACCCAAAGTATTTTATGTTACTGAGAAAGCTTGGAATTATTATCCTTATACTATAACAGGTAAGAATGTTATGGTTTAGGTTTAAAAAAAATATTGAATAATTTTTTTTGTTTTCCTGGTATGTTTTTTAATATTCTGCTTCTTTTTCATGGTACTGCAATTGTAAAGAATATACGGTGAGTTAAATATATCACTTACTTTATGAAGTTGTTGAACAAGTTTGTAATTTTTTTTTAACTTAAATTTGTTTCTTTTAGTGTTCCTTTATTCCAAAATTTGAAATATCTATTCAAACAAGGTATGAAGATAATAATGGAACTACTGACAATGTAAGTACTGTACATAACATTACAATTTAATTTGCGATTAATTAATTTAATGTTCCTAATGATATATTGCCATCCAGTGTCTAGACCTTACCCCTGAAGAAATAGAGCAGAGAGAAGTGGATTTTCTTGATATTGCATATGATGAAATAAAACCACATCACTATAAGGAAGTTGAAGATCCCAAATTCTATAAATCTGAAAAGACAGGGCGCGGCCCCTTGGTGGAAGGATGGAGAGACAGTCACCAACCTATCATGTGTTGCTATAAAGCTGTCAATGTCAAGTTTGAAATATGGGGTCTCCAGACTAAAGTAGAGGAATATGTTCAAGGTGTATGTTTTTCAGCCTTTTGCTAGTTGAACAACACTTTTTATAAATTGTTAATGATTTATACCTGGTTTTAGGCAATTCGTGAAATATTACTACTTGGTCATCGTCAAGCTTTTGCTTGGATGGATGACTGGTACAATATGACCATTGAAGATGTCCGAGAATATGAAAGAGAGATGCAGGCAAAAACAAATGTAAAGGTTTGTGCAGTTGATTATTTAGTCCTTTTTTATTTACATAAATTTTAAATCACATAGAAGTAATTTCCACATGGCATATTATTTAAAAAATTGTCTAAAATATATTTATAAATAATGCAACAAACGCTATTCTAAAAAAATACAAATATCAATTTTACAAATATTTTGTAATGTACAATTTGGCAAATAAGGTTATTCATATGTGCATTGATGAAAGTAATGCATTTTGCTAAGTTTTTAGCAATCTTAGGCCTCCAGTGATATCCACATGATGTGTGGAATATCACATATGTAATGATGAGAACTCTCTTATGATTTGAGAGGCTTAAGTTTATTAGAGCCAGTTATATCTGTATTATACCCACTTGTTAATGTAGATGTACAGTCAAAAGCATGTTAGACTATATAAATCTGTCAAATTTCTCCACATGATTTTACCTTAATGTTTTGTATGTAGAGTTTAATATCAAGTAGAGAAATTTGGCATATTGTGATAGTCTGACATGCTATTGTGTGTAACAATGAATTATGACCAGTATTTTGTATTTCTATCACTATTTTTGTACATAGTAGAAAAATTATTGGGTTTATAACTTTTTTCAGTTGAGAGCTACTATTGAAAATGTAGAGAAAGCTGAAGAGGTCATAGCTCATTCTTCTAAACTAAATACTCCAAAATCGCCTAAGAGCCCAGCAACTACCCCATCATCGGAAGGAAGGTCATGGTTCTTTTGGTCTTAAATTGTAGGTACTATTTTTTAGTTGAATTTAATTTGATCTCAGTACAGGGTTTTTAGTTTGTGAACATGATGTGTTCAAATATTGCCTACAAATTTATATTATGCCATCCATTTAATACATATTTATGAAAAGATATCCAACAGTTGTTTTTTATACAATTTTAAGCATAATTAGTTAATTTTGATGAAAGTAAATGCTAAATATATTATTTGCTTTTGTATGCTTACTTTAAGACTTGTTGAAAGGTTCCTAGTAAAAGGGTATCCCAGGATACTCACACCAACAGCAAATTAGATATAGTTGTTATATGTTAAAGTGTATAAGGGTATCTTGTAGAGCTATTTCACCTTCTGTTTATTAATACTTATAACAGTGGCTTTCTAATATAATATGAATAAAATTGTTATATGATACTGTAGAATGACTTCCCCGATTCCATTGGGCGACCTCCCAATTATTTTATATTTATTAAAAAAGCTCACATTTTTCTTATGCAACGATTATAAGGATTTTCATCATAGTATGTATATTATATACTATATTTACGTATATGTTAATATGTATGAACTTGTTTTTAGTTTATTTTAAAGCTATGTTGTAAGATCACTTTATCTCGCCACATGTTTTTCTGTTTTCCAATAGTTTATACAGAGTGTCTTTCTCTGAAGCTACGTTTACGAGAAGACAAGAAGTCCTAAAAATGCAGAAAAGAATATCTTTCTACGCCATAACCTTCGGCTTCTAAACTTTTATAAAAAAAATCGTTCAATTTTGTTATACAGCATATGATTGTGTACTATGTTCTAATGACTTTCGTGATCATAAGAAATGAAGTAATATTATTATAACATTATTCAATAATTTCTTTTATTTTACCAATTATCTTATTTCAATAAATGATATAAGATACTTAAGTATTCGGTATTCGGCCGCATGTTAGTGACAAAAGCAGCCGAATAGGCCGAATACCGAATATTCGTTGCAAGTCTACTAATAATGTCTTGTATGTTATATATTTGCAATTACTTATACAAGATTTAGTTTTTGTTTTATATTGACGAGCTCGGTGTAGTTGATTTATTTGAAAAAAAAAGAAATGTTGTGAGCTTCATAGTTGTACTGCAAAAAGTTATCTAAAATTAGAAAATTTCTGATTTTTTATTATAACTTGTTGAAATTTAAGTTCAAAATCGAAGAATATTTGATATTTTGCGGTAACTTTGTGTGCTGCAGTATGTGTGTAGTGTTAAATTTGATATCTTGCGTGGTGTTAGTCTTCTCAAAGTTATTGTTACAGTTTAAAAAGAATTTGTATAATATTAGAATAATGTTTTATACTTCAGGGCTTTTCCAATGTATTTTCATAAGAATTATTAATAAATAGCCCTTGGAATTATAAAAGTATTACATAGACACCGAGAAGGAAGGTTACTTACTGTTAATTAATGTTTAAGCATGGGGGGGAGAGTATTGCTTACCGTTGACAAACGGGTAAGGGGAGCTGAAAATCACTATAATTCTGCTTATGTTATACTTGAATAGCCCATTTAAATAAGTGACTAATTATATTAAGTACACATTGAACAATTTATGCCCGCCGACTGATGTGTTAATAATCAAATGAATTTAAAGAAATCACATGTTGAAAATTTTTTGTAATTACTCAATGAAAGCAATTAAAAATCATTGATTACATATTTATAATGTAATTATACCATAGAAGCATGAGTACAATAAATAAATCTATAAAATTTGGTATAAACGGGTTTGCTTATCTCATGATTAGTTAAATATCTACCATTTAGTTAGGGACATACCTATATATTTAAGTTAACTTCAATAATAACAACATATTTTCCGTAGGTTTAAGTCAGAGTACGAAACGTACGTCTTCTGACCTTCATCTTGTAATGACCGACCTCTTTGACAAAGACTTCTTTGTGTAGGTATCTACTATTAACTGTTGCACGGTCACGGAACAGAAAGAATTTCGTACGTTGACCTTTGCAGATATCGTAAACATGTTAGGATTGTTTTACTATGAAAAAAATTGTCTAGATATATTTGTACGAGCGCAATAGCAATATGTTTGCGCACGAGTGAATGAGATATGTAGTGCCGGGTTATTGCACTTAGGGTCAGTGCGAATTTCTTTCTGTTCGCCGATCGTGATATGACGCTGGAAAGCAAACACGTAGTAACGTGCAAAACCAAAATGAATATTTAGACTGAAAAATCTTTATATTTTTCAAAAAAAAAAAATTCATTTTTGTTTAAATTGACTAAGGAACACCTTATATGTTACCATGGACGTTTATAGGAATTATTGATCGAAAAAATTAAAGTTTTTCTGCTCTGCAGAACAATTTTGGTTTTGCTTTCCAGCGTCGATATTGACAAGTTTGCCAATTCAAATTACGACCTTAAAATGACATCTAGTCTAGGAAATATTTTCAAACTCGAAACGGCGTGTTTATTATAGATTTTTTGTTACCGACCACTTACTGAAGTATTTTTCTGTATTGCATAGCAACAATATATTAGGAGTTTGATTATGTATTATGAGACCTTATAATTATTTATGTATTATTAAGTTCGAAGTCTTTCATTAAGACTGACAACTAAACATTCAAGCCCCTAATATTTTGGTTAGTAGTTAAAGTAGAATAATCATCGCTATGTGCAACACGTTTACTTATTTCAATATACACGGTTAACTTTTAAGTACATCTAAAATTTGAAGAGGTGTATCGGAACATTTAATATATTATATATGTAGTTCCATTTTAGTCTCTGAAAACACATAAGTATTAGTAAAATAAGCAAGCAAAGTAAGCAAGCCGCGTGTGTACGCAAGATTCAATCTTTCCATGATTTACGAAAAAAGATTCATAATTCGAATTGCGATCTTTAAACAAATTAAGTCAAATTTTTGGACACAAACAATCATCAATAATTTGAGAAATACTTTATTTTCTTGTTTTACTTTTTACTGCCTAAATTTGTTAAGTGTAAGCAACAGAACAGGTCATTATTTTTTTAGATGAACTTAAAAATTAACACTGTATACACGGTTTCACGTCAGACTATATTTGTGAACTTTGTACCGAACACGCTTCCTATAGAATTTGCCTACTAACAGGGGTCTGCTTACAGTGGTCATGTGCGCAGAAGTGTGTACCTATATATTTCCATAGATTCATTAGTACTATTATATTCGGCTGCATTACTTATAATGAGTATAGATTTTATTAAAATAAGCTATAAATACTTGACTACACAATATTTATTATGAATAAATACTTCGTCTACTTTTTCTTTATGTAAATGCTTATAAAATATCCAAATCATGTTAACCATACATGGATAATTTTTATATGGGTATTTGTTAGAGTAGATATCGTTAAATTGTTTATCAATGGTCATTGATATTAACGTCCGAGGCTTTCTGTAAGGTTGTAATGTGAAAATTAAAATTTTATGAATAAATATTTTATGGCATAACAAGTTTTATTATTTTACTGTTTGGGATTGTGTGACGTCACGTATCCAATTCAAATGTGCGCCAATACTGGTGTACACTCCTGGCAAACCCTTGACTCCACATCCCATGCCATAGCTGCTGATCCCTTCCAACAGCGAATTCTTACAAAATAGTGGACCACCTGAATCGCCCTGTAAGACAATGTTGTATGTAGTAATGTACACAATTCGATTTTCTACTTTTCTAATTTTCAAATATTGAAATGCATTTAAAAAAAAAATCTCGTTAGTTATTTTATTTGTAAAATTTATGAGTTCATCTATTTTTATGTGATTAAATGAAAATAAAGGTGTATTTGATTGAATCCTAGAATCATGCCCGGATCTAGGGACGGGGAAAGTAGGGTGCACTTGCCCTGAGCGCCAGTGTCAGGGGATGCCAAAATCATGACAACATAGTAAAAAAGAACAAGAGTCACAATTTTTTTTAAATTATTTGCATAGACATAGGCTACGATGAGACGTACATATTTTTAAAGTCCCTAAGAAAAATACGGAAGAAGTGGGAAAGGGGATGGGGGAAGGGCGCGATATCAAGTTTGGAAAAAGTTGTAGATTTGGGCCTGCCTTAAATTCAATGAATAAATAAATAAATAAATATTTAACAACATCACATACATTGCTCAGATTCCAAGATGAGTAGCTAAAGCCCCCGTATTATGGAGTATCTGAGACAACGAACGTACCATAACACCCAGACCCGAGTCAATATAGAAAAGCTCATTATCTAAATTGACCCGACCGGGAATCGAACCCGGGACCTCACAGATGGCGACACCTTGAAACCGGCGTGCGAACCACTCTGCTACGGAGGTCGTCAAATATTAACCAAATCGAATATTAACCAAATCGAATCCTGTAGTTAGTTACCCGTCAAGTCTGCAGTTCTAAAATTCAAACGGGGTATATCGTTGCCTCCTCTATGTAATTCCAATAACATAATGAGTGATATACTTAGGTATAATTTTCAATTCCTATTAAGCAAGAAATAGGGTTTAAAAACAAGAGGTTTTTCGCCTCGGCTACCACTTAAATCAGCTAATATTGAGAGACCAGCTGTTCCCGTAAACAACTCTAAAAGATGATAGAGTACCTACTTATTCAAAGAGATAAATAAATCTTTCAGGTGTGAATGATCAAAGAATGCAGTCATTATTCGTCAGACCATTAAACGTCTCATTCTCCTGTGTTATAGTATATTAGATTATGTTACTACAGGATCCAGGCCAAAATCTGACATTTAAGCAAGATTTTTATAAATCTATATTGCCGACCATTTAAAATATTTAGTTATAGGCCCAAAGGCAGTTGCGTAACTATACTGTTTGAGGCCCGTGGCAAATTTATCAGATATTGTATTTTTTTACTAATTGTGTAATAATAAATATCAGAAATGAGGATTCTCCTCTGACTAGGGGCTCCCTCTAGCTGGGGGTCCGTGGCATTTTGCTGACTTG